AACCGCCTACACCTACACATTCGGCTGCTGGAAAGGTAGGGGATTTCTGGGCGAGGGCTGTCTCATAAATTAGATGATCATTTCTCAGCTATGGTTTGACACTGATGTTGATGACACTACTGATTGCATGCGCTGCCAACTTAGTGTCTTTCAGTTCCAGAGATGGTTTAGAGAGAGACGGAGAAAACAAACCATTTATATCTCTTGCTTTATTCGTTTTGCTTTTCCTTTTTGCACTTGTTTTCATAAAACAACTTCTAAGGAGGCAAAAGATGCAGAACATTGACAAAGTGAATGATCATTGCAGTTTACTGTTAATTATTACTGAACACCATGCCAACAAAATTCACTATATATAAACTCAGTCCTATATTTACTATAGGTAAATTGTCAAATATTCATATTTACAGTACACAGTATTATCAGCAGTCAGTGTTTCAGTAAAGGTTGGATTACCAATGTGAGGAAAGTTCTTTTATTTTGAAAGAGAAGACTAATAAAAAGATATATATTTCACTATGTGAAATTTATTTTACATTAACGTATCAAAATAAGCATGCGCACATGGATCTTCACTGTTTAGGATAAACAGGAAAGACTGGCCTCAACTTGCCGGTATACAATATTTGTATGAAAAGATGTTACTATCTGATTGGTCAAACTGTTGGGGAGAAGTCATGGTTTAATTATGCTTCTTTCACTTGTTGCTTTAAAGTGCCTTAGATTTGTGTTACTGCCTATTTAGATGTGTTATTGCTCATCTACTTTATATTTCACTTGTATTTTGTGGCATTCATGTGGACAGCAAAGTAAGAATTTTATTGTACAGGGAAACACGTTTCCTAACTGTGCATATGACAAACACTTTGACCTTTGATCTTTAACAGTGACCCCATCCACTGGGCAAGAGGGGTCACTGAACGGTTTGATGAGGATGAACATGATGTCATTATATGCTATGGCTGTCTATCACCAGATCTGAACCCAAGTGAACAACCTAAGCAAGATTTTGGAGCAACGTGTTAAGACAGTGGTCTTATTAAACCTGATAACTGAATTTTCAATATAAACAACAAGCTGTGCTTTATGGGAATATTTCTGGAGATTTGGGACAAACATGTTAAACAGCTTTTAAAATAGTCCATCAAACATTTAATGTATAACAATTGTTTAGATGCAGTTTATTTTACCATGAAACACACTTTTCTTTGATACTATTTTATTGATCAGAAAAAGTATTTCATTGAGAAGAACCACCCCGATTTCTCAAAGAATACAGTACTTTATTGTCTGACAATATTTTCATTGCACATTCATAATTTAAATCAGTGCAAAAACATCTTCCCTTTGAGTCACTGTAATTCTCATTTAAAATGAGAAAAGAAAAAAAAAATTAGTGACAACTGGATGAGGGCCACTTGGCCCAACTTTAAATAATGGAGAGCAGCGTGAGTGATGTATGCTCTAACAACTCTTTATAGGAGGAAGTAAATGAAAAGTGTGTTGAAAAGCCACCGAATTTGGTTTTACTTTTCTTCTAAGCCCTGAAGTATTGTAAAGAAATGAGTCAGTTTGCTGTGTAATGTTCTGGAAAACACATCATTTGATTGTTAACATACTCAGTCTGCTGCCAACAAAACATTGGGACATGCTGAGAAACAAACCAATGTTTTTTTAATAGTTCGACAAAGGTCACAGGTGTTTTTGGTCCTCATCATGTCAAGATTCCTATAAACAAGGTGTGAGATGTCCACAGCGAAAAACTGACTCCTATATACTGCTCTGCTGTACACACAACTTCTGTGATTCAACCAAAATTATATATTGCAGTCCTACAACGTCTTCCTCCTCCGTGGCAATGGGCTCTGTTGTCAAAGGCTCAAAGGTAGTTTACTCTTCCACGTATCCGGTAAAGAGATTCTTACAGGACATGCAAAAACTGGCTACATTAAGTAATGAAGCTCAGCTGCATGTCTGTAGTTTGATTATGAAAACTGGAGTGCAAAAAGCTGTTTTTGGTTTCATATTTCAACACAATCTTTTCTAAAGGGACAGTTCTGAATACAAAAGAGAGCAAACAAACAAATTTACAGCAGTCTCCACTAAATGTCTGGTGTTAAAAACAAAATGCTACAAAGATATGCAGCAAAATGTGGTACAACCTAATACAGTTGGACAAATTCAATTATTCAATAGGCTGCCTGTTCTAAAAAAAAAACACACATTAAAACAAACAAATGGAATAATTGCTATCACACAGTACATCATCATCCCTGGGATTCATCAACAATGACATATCATGGCAGGGCCCATAGTTTTCAAGCTGTTCAGGCCATGACCCACCATCTGGATACAGAATGAGTGATCTAAGAAGTTTAAAGCTTGGAGGATGGTGTCATTTGTTACCCCACTTTATCAAAACCAGATTAAGCACTGTGTTTATCTGCTCTTAATATAATCTGCAATTGTTAGCATGTAGAGTTAACAAGCTTACTCCCAATAGCAGCAGCCTAGCTTTACTAGGCCAAGAGTTAGCATAGTGTATTGTTAACTCAACTTTGTGAAGTTACAGGTTACAAATTAAAAATTTACTAGCACATCCACTGTGTAGTGTTTCCCTGCTGTGTGGAAGCTGGTCCTAGACACTAACACAGTTTAGGCTAACATTTGATTTGATTTGATTTGATTTATTCTTTCAAGCATGTAGAAACAGTTGATATGACAACACACATAATTTTACACATAATCCAATATCAATTTGCTTATACCTAGTACATGCTTGAATGGAGTAGGAAGAAGTCAGACTTATCCAGTCCTACCCCATGACATCATCTTACCATCATTGGTTTACAAGCAGTATCTCTACATAAATAATTCTCTTCTACACCACACAAGTAATATACTAAAAAAATTATAACAGAGTGTTAACATTCTTACATAATTACATTCTTAAATAATTATCTTCTACACCACACAAGTAACATACTAAAGAATTAATACAAGGTGTTAACATTCATACACCACACCCACAATGTTCCATCTAATTAATCATTAAGCTTGTTCTTGCATATATCTTGATTGACACA